TGTATACATAAATTTAAATAATTATTAAACCAAAATCGAAACCTTCAACTGTAAAGTGCATCAAGAAATTACAGACGTTCTAAATAAAAAGGTAGAAAATAACTTGAATAGTGAATATTAACTGCTATAAAAGAATTAAAAATTAATTAGACATAAAATATTTTAGCCAATAATCGAAACTTTCGCAGAAATGATTTTTACTATGGAGATGTTGAAATATTTTATACATTTTGAGATACTTAATTAAAAGTTAAGAACAACAACAATTATATCTATTATGTTGGTTTAATTTATATTCTATGCACTATTTTTAATTTGATCTGCAGTAATAATTCAATTTAAAGTAACTTTAAAGTTTAAAGTGTCATAATTGAATGCTGCCTAAAATCACTTTTGTGACTTATCACAATGCAAAGTGACTTATCACAATGCAAAAACACAATGCAAAGTGTTTTTGGAAACTCAACTATTCAATTTTAATAAATAAAGTTTTCAAATTTGTAAACTTTATGATTTACAAAAATAGAAATAAATGTTATAAAAGTGTATAATTTATTCTCGAATTTGAAACAAATAAAAATTTCAGAAAAAATTCTTTGACATTAAGATGATTATCTAAACACAAAAAGGTTTAAAATAAATACGTAAATAGAGAAATTCTTACAAATAAAGCAAAATATATACAATTCAAAAATAAATTTTGTTTTTTTACTTAGAAATCTCATTTCAACTTAAAAGGAATTTAATGAGTTTATTTAATAGTTTCCAGAAATTTTACTTCTAGGGATACTACAGTGCCTTATGTATCGCAACATACGTAACAACCTAAATCGAAAAAAAAAGTAATTTACTTTTAAATTAAGATCAGGAACTTTCAGTGAACTGTAAATTGGTTTCATGTTAATAGCAAATTAGCTTTTTATTACCACATAATAAAAATCTTTCCCTGTTCAATCATTGTTAAGTTCCTTAATAGCACTTAGGTGGCTACTTTTACTCCCATAACAGCCTCAATTAAGAATAAAAAGGTCATCAAAGTTTCACCTAAATGTGCTCCAGACATGTTTTAGTTCATTCTTTAACGTACATTTAAACACAGTATAAACTAAAAGCATTCTTCTCTTCAGGAGATGGATTTTGTCTCGAAAAAGAAAGCACTTGGAATGAGAAACTACCATCTCCAAAGAATTTTAATATAATCTAAATTGAAAAGACTGCTTTTCTTGAAGATAAACTATTTCAGAAACACACTGATGGGGCATGCAGGAGAAAACGTGTTGCTAACTTTTCTCTAATGTTAAACTCCAAACTCTTTGGAAACGAAATTAGGAAGAACTGAAGCAGAAAATTGCAGTAGAGTTGAAAAGACCAATTAATTGTGGATGAAATAAGTCGATTAGAAACGGAAAATCATTTGCGTCACATAGATGTTAAGAATCGACTTCAAATCGCCTTTTGAAAATCTAGATTTAAGAAACAATAATCAACTGTTAGAATAAAAATTAAAGTTCGGTATACAGAAAGAGATATCAAATTTTGCAATTAAATAAGGAAATATGAATTTTGTAATGTGAAGGATTTTTTCCTTTACTTTGACATTTATTTATAGCATTGGTGTTGAAAGCATACTTAGCAGAATCTTTCTAAAGCTTTTGCAGCGTAACGTTAGGTTACGCTACCATAAATGCATCATCCATTTGCTTCGTGAAGTGTTTCTCCTGCGTGAAATGTAAATCTTTTAACTTGTCTTTTACTTGTTCCGTTATAAACTTATAAATGAGCTATTTATTTATAAAATGAGCAATTTTAATAACTTAAGTACCAGATTTATGTTTCATTAAATTTCGCAAAATAATCGTTTTAAATATAACATTGATAAGACACCTGATATCAAGTAGTAGTAGCTCCCAGTACATATCATACCACATAGCAGGATTAAAAAGGGCTAAGTAATTTGTGAATCAGTAAATGAATGTTTAATGTTTTTTACAGTGTAAGAGGTTAGCATGTTCAGATAAAAACTAAAATATCTACTATTAGAATCTCAGCGAGGACACAGTTAAATTTTCACTTTTCTTCTCCGAAAGTCTTAATAGAACGTAAAGACATTATGTGTTTTTGAAGCAGGAGAAGAGACAAATGTGCACTGCCCTCCCCGGTACTCGAACCTGGGCCTCTCGAATACACGCCGAGTGTTTTACCGTTACACCACAAAGGCATGCGGAAAAGAGGGAGAAAATACCTTATGTACTCCTTCTTTTAAAGAGCGACTGTGGGGATTATTGGGGATCATTGGACTAAAGGTACAGTGCTCGCGTCTTCCGTCAATGGAATGGAATGGAATGGGGATTATTGGACACAATCGCCAAATCCTGGTGATGAAGAATCATCATTCACCACCCTTTGGTGCAGGCATCACTGTAGAGACATTAGGTATTTTTGAAGTAGGAGAAGAGACAAATGTACAATGCATTCGCCGGGTTTCGAACCTGGACCTCTCGGTTACGCGCCGAGTGTTCTACCGTTATATCACGAAGGCGGAAGGGAGGGAGAAAATACTTTTTAAGTCTTTAAATTGACGCCCCCAACTATAACATTTGTTGGTAGGTAATTTGTCGCCAGTTGGATATGGTCGACTGAGCCTGGAGTTACTTCCTTAGTCGTTCTTAAATGAGGAAAAATGTATAAATATTGTGTTCCTCTTTGCATGCTCTAATCGCCTGTATGGTTTGACCCATCTAGCAAGTAGGATATTTGGCGTTCTAATCCCGGTGGGAATACAATTGATTTTTCATGTTTCTTCCAAAGAAATCCCTAATATTATGCACTAATTAACCTTGAAAATTCATAAACTAGTTTTGCTTTCATATTCCGAATATATCTTCCATAACTGAGTTAAATAAATCCATTACTTCGAATTTATTTCATCTAATTCAGATCATGTTAGCAATTCAATAGTGCAATATGATTCATTTACACTGCATTACAAGGTTTATAGTCGAAATATATAACTTGCTTATTATTATGCTCTTTAACCACGCATGCTTTCTTCCCATTGAGCTAAAATCGTAGGGAACTAGGTTTAATTAATTAAAAATTTCACTATGATTTCTTAGTGAACTGAAGTTCATTAACTCTTGAGAAAAATAAATATCGTTTCCTATGTTTAAAAGAAAAAATACACTTGATGAATAATGAAGAAGGCATTCATTATGAAGGTAAACAATTTAATGTTTATCGCAGATGTATTATGCCTTCATTGCATCACATTTCCATTTAATGTCACTTTTATGAGATGTCAAGTCCTATTACTAAGTTTTCGTTGCCATGTATTCTCCAAAAAAAATCTCATTCTTGGTTATATGAAATACGTCAAAACTTAATTAAAAAGCACTCAAGCAACGCATAAATTGAGCAGCGCCATCTGTTAACAATTAAAAAAGGAAAAGCTGTCTATCAAAATCAAAGATATGTTCAAAAGAAGAAGACATTTTTTAACGTTAGTTAATTCTTTGTTATTCAGTGTGCTGATATGAAGCTTTCTTTTCATGCAATATTTTTAAACGAATTTTTTAAAAATTTATTCCATAAGTTATTCACTTTCAAAAAATTAAATTAAAATAATTTTTCCGTCCTGAGCTCGAAAAATGTTACCCCTTTCAGAACTTGAAATAAAAGAAGAGCAAGGCGACTACAGACGTAAAAACCTTTATTAGTGCATGACTTCTTTTATATACTTTAGCGTGAAATCATCTTTAAAACTTTATTTCATCATATACTTTTAAATATAATATCAATCTGTCAATATTAAATCAGTATACCTTTAGGCATAATATCAATTTTAAATCATTATTATTTTGTGTCAAAAAATTTTGATTTCATACATAAAATCATTTACTTTCAGCTGGTCTTACACATTATCATTGTAATGTGCCCTTTTATCAAACTTTTACAGAAGCATGTTGTGTGAAAACGGTGTTTTCAGATATTTATATTTCTTAAAAGTTTCAGTTTCTGTTATTTGGTTACAAATATTATTGTTATTTATGTGAAAATATTAGAATTTTCCTTTTCTCAGAACTGCAAATGCCATCATATTAAGCAGGTGAAATTTTTCCTAATTACTGAGTATAAGCTCTATATTTGAGGTTTGATTACGTACAATGAAAAAATAGAAAAAAAATTGGAGCGCAAAACAAAGTGTCGACACAAAGATGATCCTATGCAAAACACAATGAAAAATAATAAGTAGGGCAATTTCTCAGACTCAGAATCAATGAAATTTTAAAAAATTATATTTAAGGAAACAAGACGGCAGCTAATACTGAGTAGTTCCACAGAACTCACGTATATGCATGATAGATGTATTTAAGTTCATACCATCTCCTGCAATTAATCAACTTTCTAAGGAGGTGTTCGACAGTTTCAGACTGGCAGCTGATCTTGTTCAAATATTTTTCGATGAGATCAGTACAATTTTTTACACTGCATGCTAAAATACAGTTTTAAGAATATCCAAAATAAGACACAGGTAATATAAACTGGAGAATATCTTTCACTTAGTGCAGATCTGTAAGATTCCAAAATTTTTGTCCTAATATATATACTTATAATTACAAAAAATGTATTTTAAATTAAACAAAATCTCCTGATTTCATGTTTTAGGATGTTTTATCATCCGTTTCCTGCTGAGTGATTATTTTGAAATCTATGGAAATGTGAGATATATCACATCTGCATATGATATTTCTTATTTATTAGCAGCATACTAGTATTAGCAGCAGTCGTTAATTATACACCTAAATTACAATAATGTAATTCATATTTCTAAATACACATGGAAGATTTTATTTAGATAGATGCTTCGTAAGTTTCAAATGCTTACAAATGTCTTTTTAAGATATTTCCTTTTTTATATACATGCATGCCTTATTTCGTTTTAAGCAAAAATTTCTAACATAATTTTTCTTTCTTTTTCCAGGACGGGAGTCACAAAGCAATCTACGTATGAAGAATATAATTTATTAAAGATTTCTGTCATTTATATGATAATAACTGTGTTGTAGTAACATTATTGGAATTGAAATATAAGTCCAATATATTTTCACTCGGTGTCTGGTTAAATATCAATCCAGTGTTGAAAATCAATGAATATGTTGATATGAAAAAAATAAATTCAGATTTATATAAAATAATATCATCCGTTTCCTGCTGAGTGATTATTTTGCAATCTATGAAATGTGAGATATTATCATATCTGCATATGATATTTCTTATTTATTAGCAGCATACAATATTATTACAGCAGTCGTTAACTATATGCCTAAATTACAATAACAGATCATTCATCGACACTTCGAAATGTAAAATCTAAAGTCTAAATAAAAGCATAAAATGAAATATGATATTATGATGAATTCTCAGATAATGAAGAAAAACACTAACGCTGATTTCAACGTATCAGTTATGAACGTTTCATCAATTTAATGCACAGTTTTACTTCAAAAAGCACCATTAATTAATAACACGCTTAGGAATAAAAACAATTTTCAGTTATGAAGAACATATCTCTTGATCACGAGGTAAAATCTGATACATATTACAGGAATTTCACTGTCGTTGAAGCAGAATCAACAACTGAAATAATATGGTTCATCCTTATATGTCTTGCACTTGGAATCCTTATTAGTGCGACAATTATAGGCAACGTTTTCGTCATGGTAGCTATTGTAAAAGACAGAAATTTGAACAACTTGAGTAACTATTTAGTGTTTTCTTTGGCCCTTGCAGATTTGCTTGTGGCGTTGCTTGTAATGCCAATTGGTGCTGTGTATGAAGTGAAGAAAGAATGGAGCATGGGACCAGCTCTTTGTGACTTATGGACTTCTTGTGATGTTCTTTGTTGCACAGCTTCCATATTACATCTCTTAGCGATAGCAGTGGATAGATACTGGGCCGTCACTAATGTAGACTACGCCAGAAATCGCTGCAAAAAGCGAATTTACACTGCAATTTTTCTAGTCTGGGCCATATCTTTTACCGTGTCCATTGCACCCATATTCGGTTGGAAAGATCCCGAATTTAATTACAGAATAGAGATTGAGAAAAGGTGCTTAGTAAGTCAGGATTTAGGATATCAAGTCTTCGCAACTTGCTCCAGCTTCTACGTTCCCCTGATCATGATACTCATTCTTTATTCTAGAATTTTCCAAGAAGCTCGGAATCGAATCCGTAGGAGACCTGGTGCTGCAAGTCAAGCCATGCTTCTTGTACAAAGACCTCCTCCGGCATTGACAGATTCTAAGCGCAGCTGTAATTCCCCAACTCCAAGTTTCGATCCACCTTCTTACGTTGTGGATACAACATTATCGTGTCAGCTGGAGGATAGTACTACAATACAGTCACAAACAGTGAATGGTATCCAATCATCTAAACAGACAAGTAATTCTCAAGTTTCTTCTTCTAGTGGTGGGGCAATGGGACGTTTACTTCACATTGGAAAAAGAGAGAAAAAACCAGAAAATAATTTAGCTAAACGTGAGAAAAAAGCTGCTAAAACTCTTGCCATAATAACTGGCGTCTTTGTGATGTGCTGGCTACCATTCTTTATCATGGCTTTATTACTACCTCTCTGCAACGACTGCGAACCGAATTTTGCAATTTTTAGCGTATTTCTTTGGTTAGGTTATGCTAATTCTATGCTCAATCCCATAATCTATACTATTTTCAGTCCAGATTTTCGAAGTGCATTTCGAAAGTTACTCTGTTCCTTTAATCGAACACAACGACCTTCTCTGTAAGAGATAAAAGACAAGAACTTGAACTCTAGAAGATATTAAATGACGGACACGATTACATTAAATGGACAAACTCTCTACACGTTTCTCATATTATGAATGTTATAGAAAAGTGGTTTTCTGTAAAAGTCATAAAAACTATTAATACGATTGCACGAATATAATAACAAGACCAATATGTTGTCGTAGTTAATCAAATTATCATTCTTCTCAGTTGTTCAAATTCATGCTGCTAATAGTAGGCAACATTAGCTTAAAGGTCTGAGAAGTTACTCATTTAATAAATTTTGCTACTCTTAAAACATTTTAAAAACCAGATCTTGAAGTATATTAACCTAACGAGATCTATATCGAAATTTTCCAGTTCAATTTTAAGACTCAGGCTTGTAATAGGAATTCAAAAATATAAATTTCCTTCTACTACATATCGATAAATTAAAATATGCTATCAAGGTTTTTTTAATTTGTGTGATAATCATGATTATTTTCTTATTTAAAGCTATCATATTTAAGCTCTTTAAGAAAACTTGGCACAAGCTAAATTAACATTTAAATTAGCTGCAATATGAAACTGAAATTTTCAAAATTATCCCTACAGAAGCAAACGAATATTTGTACTTCGAAACCAAGATGAAAGAAATACAAACAGCTTTAGTGTAAATAAATATAATTATGATACGTGGCATATACATATGGAAAATATGTGTTAAAGAAAATGTTCCATGCACTGACATAAAGACATTTAAACTGGAAGTTGAATACCTTGGCTAATTTTAATGAGATATTCTAAGGTCAACACATTTCAAACCAATAACAAGTGCAAAATTTCTTTACTAATAAAAGGCACGGTCTTATAAAAGATCTCAAGCATCAGAGACGCTCGTGTTTATAAATCAAAGTAGAAGCTTTATGTGTCTGCAAACCGTGTTATAAATTGAATTTTCAACGTCTTTATTTTTATCTTAACAATGATTTATTCCATTTTTTGAAAATGCATGAAATTGTCAATCGTGAATATTACATGTTTTTACTCTGTGTGTGGAAGCTTCATTCTAAAATGGTTATCAATTGAACGTACTGAAAATGGTACATATGCTCAATAACATACGTATTATAAATAAAACTCGCAAAGCATCCATTGATATTTGATGTTATATGATCTGTTGTACATATCCAGCCCTAGATATATTCTAAGAAGCATTTAAGGAAATGTCAAGATAAGAAAAATGCTTATTCATACACTTTCAACAGGAAGGTGAGTAAAATTATCTTCATCTGCTAAACTTATACCTAATATTCTTTTTTTTGTCTTAATATATCTTTTCATGATTAAATATCGAACTTGTTATTTGACATATACTATTCACCAAATTTCTATTAACTTATTTGGGTGTATCGTATTTTATATCGCTCGCTGTGAAGTAAACTTTTGAATTCTCAATGCTGGGTCTGCAAAGTTTGGGTTGTGTAATGTTCCTTTGTAACGTTTAATGCTGAATTCGAAAACGACGTTCCTTTTTTCCCAATCACATCAGGGTTTATCGGAAATCTCAACTTTAAAATTTTTTAAAAGTCCAAACATTGCTAAACATAAGACCTTAAAATAGACTAAAATAGACTTAAATCGTTTTTTTCATAAAATTTATTCTCTATTTTGGCTTATACTAAGACAATTTACGTAAAATACACACTTTCATTTTATGCGTCAAAGTTTCCTTGGACCTTTCCTGCTCTACTTGTGCTTTTATGTTCTTGATGAGGTTTATTTCGGTGCAACATTCAGCAATAGTGAATCATCATCAAAGCAGTCCATTATCCTTGATACCTTCTTATCATTTATTTGATTACTTGATGAGATCTCTCACCCATCTTTTCACTAACGGTATCCTGATTTTCAGAAAAATAACCCAATCAAATTATCATCATCAACAACTTAACTTGAATTCAGGTAGTGAACCTTTATAGTCTTATAAAACAACCTAGATTTTTGCACTTCCCTACAGTATGTTCTGAACGAATGTTTTAAAGTTCGGATCTTTTTTATTGCCCAAAAACTCGCTTACTACGTCTTTAAAGACTCCGCAGGATTCTTTTTCAGAAAATTTCATTTGTTTCCCAAAATTACCATCTTTAAGAACCACTCTAATGCCAGCATAAGTAAAGACACCTTCTTTTGGTTTGATGGTTGATAAGGCTTGAAATTTGCCATGCATGTATTTAAAACATTGACCTTCTTCTGGTATGGCTTTGACGATTGCTTCTTCAAGCTTAACTTGATATTCTGAGGTGGGAGGAGAACTTTATGCGGATCTATCAGAGCTTTTCGGAGCACAGTTTTGATTCTAGATTCTAATGAAGCCTTTTTGGCCAATCTTTCTTTAACCTAAGATTACCTTGGTCACTGCTATGCCATTCGCACAAAAAAGAAGGAAACATTGTGTACCCCCTTGCTGTTTGTTCTTGGAGAATTTGAGACTGCAACACATAATCCAGTTCTGATCATCGTATTTAATCCTATCGAGAATGAATTCCAAATCTTCGAAACGCTCTATTAAATGGAAGGAATGTCCGAAGAGCCCAATGTACCTTTAACAATTAGAACACAATTAATGGGAAAATGAGACTCATTTGTATCAATTTTCATCAGAAAACTGAAGGGGGTCAGTTGGACCCCTCCCCATCTCTCATCAGAGCACTCAAATCCCTTGCTATGAGAAGGTTTAGCATAAACCACAAAAGAGGGATAAATTATAAGGAAAAAAACGGTATGTCTGTTTTAATTTCTCATATGTTAGCAATTTTTTATCTTTTTAACAATTTTGAAATCTGCGAAATCCGACAAGGCAGTTCTGGATTCAGCATTACAAAATATATAAGAATCAATTATCAGTTATTAAAAAACGCAAATTACAATTTAACTACAGATTAACTACAGATACAATACAACTATAGATTTAAATACAAAAACTTTCAATAAATACTAAAATGTGTTCTACTTAATTGCCTGCTTAATTATTGCTGTGTTTAAATGAAAGAAGTGCACAATATTCTTTGCATCGTTATTTCTCCTGTGAGAATGAATTTAGCGATACGTTTCCATCTCTTTAATAAGGGATGATATTAAAATTAATTCTGTATATTTATATTAAAATAAACGCTTCATACTAACATTGAAAAGTGTTTTATATATTCAAATATTATATTTTCTTCTAAAATAAAGTGTTGAAAATAATTGTCCTGAAAAGACTGTTAAAATATTACTATAGACATTTTCTATCAATAGCTTTCTTATTCTGAATTGTCTATTCTAACAGAAATAGCTATTCATATAAATGTGACATATACATGGCTAAAATAACAATGCTGTACCATATGGTTTAAGACATATTTGCAGGAGATGAAGGTCTCAAGAAATGAACTGAAAATCAGGTTTGCTGAATTTTTAATAAAGTACTTTAATTAATCATATATTATTTTATCCTATACCTAGCTGTAATTTCCAATTTTTGAAGTGAAATAAAAGAGATTTTATTGAAAAATCATATTTGTATATATATATAAGGTATATATATATATATATATATAAGGTACCTGTAGTTAATGCAATGTCCATTTCTTTATAGTTCTATATGTCATAACGTAATCGTAAATCCTATTTTCAGGATCCAATAGACGTCTTCCAGACACTTGGAAAAAGTCCATATTAGTTTACACTCTTACAATGATTCTCTACTAATAATCTATAGACACTTGGCTGCAGGCCCATAGATAAGTAGTGGTAGACAGGCCTGTATCTCAAAGACCCAAACTTTTAGGGGTCTTAGATAGTCTGTCACATTTTTGCTGTTAATAATAGATATGATACAAAACAAACGTAAGTTTATTATTCTTCTTTCTGTTCCTTTACATGGATAAAGCTATTCTAATTTTATAAATTTAGTTTTCCATATGTAGTGCAACAGAGTGTTTAATCGCTTAGCTAATAGAAAAATTATATAACACGTAAGCCGAAACTCAAAGCAAATCTTTGAAAGGCTAAATCGGGATCTGATCTATGTCCATGTTCTGTATTTTTTCTTTAATAAAACATAAATATCCTTAATTGAAAAACTGTTCAAAAGTTATCCCTTTAGTTTGAAATGTTTTTAATATATTGTATGTTATCCGGTTGCTCTGAAACAATCAAAAAGCTCACTATTGAATGAATTCTTAAAATATTTTTCTTCCTTACACAAGGTAATTTAAAAACGCATTTATGATTTAAGATGAGTAACATTTCGTACTTTTTACAGCACATTACATTTATGTAAGTTACGGAAGTTTCAGTGTACCAGCAAAACGTTGATGTAGAAAGCTATGTTATCTAAGCCAGAAATGGCCAACAAGTTGATTAGGAAAGGATTTTTGGTCGATCACAGCCGACAAAATATGATTTAAACGCGTAAACGCAACCTAATTTATCTACAAAATAGTAAGTTAAGAAAAAATATAATTTATAAATCTCAAAGCTCAATTAAGAGTACAACATATGTTTTTTAAAATGCCAATGTGAAAATCACAAGCAATGGCTATTGCCTCATTCATTGTAAGCGTGTAGAATGTTTAAAATGTCAAGAGAACAGGTAGATGGCAACACATTTCGAAGAAAAAGGTCCACCTTATATATATATATATATATGTGCGTGTGTGTGTAAAGACATAAAGTAAGAAATTTAGAACTTGATCACAATGACCAAAAATTGAAATTTATAATTAATAAATTTCAAGTAATCCTATAAATGTAGATAAGAATTTAAAAAGTGTTAAAAACCAAAACTTTTCAAACAAGTAATATCCCAATTCAAACAATTAAAGAAATTTAAAGAAAAACGAACATAATGGAAGAGGAGTTCAATCAACTTCAATGCCACTTCGTCATTAGGAAGAACACTGAAATCATTTGAAATCTCTCTTCCACAAAACCCCTTGATATGCTATATCCAGAGTTAGCCGATGAACCATTTCAATGAATTTTAATTATAATAGTTCCCTCGAAAATTCTGTGCCCTCCCTGAAGCAAGAAAAAAAAGTAAATTCTAGTTAAAATCTTGAACCTTAAATAAAGATAATTGTAGTTAAAAGAATGGAAATATAAGTGAAAAAATTCAAATCAAAATTTTACATTTAAGCAAAAAGCACATAGTCCGAGGAATTTAAAACTTACGTGAAATTATAAAACTTTAGTTAAAAGATAGGCATGTTTATATTTTGTTTAGAAAAAATTGTTTTGTAATTATACAGAATGATGATCTAAATTAATTGACTGACTTCATGTTAGATCCGACACAATGGATGGTTCGAACTTACGGTTTTCCCATTTGAAATTAATGCAAATTTTGCCTGAAATATGCGCAATCAACCATGTCTGCTATGGGTTCTTATAACAAGCACCAAGGTGTCCTTTCAAGGCAGTCCACTTACAATCAAACTAAACTGTCTATCGAGAGACCATTTTGTCCAATTTCTTTTGTAACTAACAGCTAAGTAAAATACCGAAACGTTACATTCTGGATAAGTAATGCATTATAAAAAATGTGAAGCATATGTGACAAGTGTTTTGCTTTTTTAATAAATGGACTTCATAGCTTTCCAAATAACCAGTATCCTATATATTGTATGCAGTTTTGGTCTTCGAACTGGATGGTCGGAACATTTTGGGCCCACGTTTCCGTAGTTTTGGAAATAAACCACAAGACAGTACTAGTGTTTATTTCATGTGAATGTGGAATACTGAAAAACGGGCATAACCCGATAAACCGTTTCAAAGGTAATTTATGAAATCTCTGAATGACAGAATTAAGGAATGAATTTGAGAGTGGGAAGAATTTGTCAAAATAGAAAACTAAAATTAACATTTGCGCCATATTATGTTATAAGAGTTTCGGAAAGGATTCAATGCTAAAATCGCGGAACAAAATCTGAGACTTGTGTGGCTATGCTCTTAGCACAGTAAGAAACCGGTTTTACACGATTTGAGATACTTACATTGCCTAGGAGATTGAAGCTTGGTTTCAGCAGACTTCCACAAAATGCATACACTAATGTGTAATCTAAGAGAAAGTATTTCAGCTTAAGATATTGGTTAGAACCTTAAAATTGGAAATTTCCCTGCATTTCGCCATTTATAGAAACATGAAATCACTTCCAAGCTCAATATATGGTTTTGAATTATTTGAAGGAAACGAATAGGCTAGATTATGTCCCTGCGTATTTTCT